TAAATGTCAGTCACATCCACAGAGCTCCCCAGCAACGCTCTGGCCATGCCTCCTTGACGAGGAAACAGAGTCATACGCCACATCGCACATTTATGAATCACTGGACTGTCATTTCCCGTCTGAACTTTCAAAGAGTCTGGTGTGTGGCATCTTCCCACATCTCCTGGAACCTTCCCTCTTGCCCCTAAAGCATGGCTTGGATGTGTGAGCATGACCAGCATTTGGAGCCGCCACGGTGTGGCGTCAGGTCCGAGAGTAGTTCACCTGCCACCAGCTGGTCATCTAGAAGTTCTGGAAGCACCCCGGGGATCCATGGTGTGATCTTTCCTGTCATCTGCTAATGGGGTGCAGCTGTTTCAAAGCAGGGGCCTGCTTGCCTGGAACTCAGGGACCCGCCTTAGAGCTTGGCCTTGCTGAGGTGTTCGTGCGCAGTGTCTGCCCCACGTGGTCGCCCCCCTGGCTGCCGGACCCGTTTTCCTCTCGTTCATCTGTAATACGCTATTAAAACCTGAGCTGTACCCGTTGTCTGTCTGGCCTCCACAGGTGGGTGCTTACGCTAGGCTATATTGTCATGGTGCTCAGTCCTGGGCTAGCGCTTACCTGGGCAGGTTCAGGCTCAGGTGGGACGGGCACCTCTCTCCTGGCCCCAGCCTCTCTGGAGGGCCTGTTGAGGGCTGTCTTCAGCAGTGGGCGTGTGAATAGGATCAGAAGAGAAGCAAACTTTCAGACCCAAAACTCGTTTGTGTTTGGGGGTCTGGGGTGAAGCCAGCTCCAAGTCAGTGGTGGCCGAGGAGCACAGCTCGATGCCTGCCCACGCTGGTGCCTGAAAGGCCCACACTTTTCTGTGTCCCCACAGCCAGCTGCTGGAGAGAATGCTGAGTCTCACAGACCGACAGAGCTAGTCCCTCTGTGCCTGCGTTTCCTTCATTCGGCTTCAGCACTGTCTTCTTTCTCACTGGGGGTCTCTCCGCCTCGCTGGGCCTGGCCCGGGGGGGAGAGGAGCGCAGCCTCCAAAACCCCACTCACAGATGGGGCTGCCTCACAGCTCTAGCGACCTGTAACACGGAGCTGCTTGGTCAGTGCTAAGAGCCAGTTTACCCCACTTTCTGACGGGTTTTCTGGCTATGAACTGGTGAGATCGCCTCAGGAGCATCTGTCAGGAAGACCCACTGTGTGCAGGTAGAGGGTCGGACATGTCAGGGTGAAATAAAACCGCTTCTGCAAAAGAGCACCCTTCACAACAGCCAGAGTGAAAGCCACCCGAGGTCAATACCAAGTGGTGCTGTGGGCTGTCACTCAGGTGTGAAGGAGATGAGAGTGTGTGTGGTGACACCGAGGGAAACGGGCCAGTCACTGAGCTTGTCACACAAACGAGCGATCCAGTACCCGCCTTATGACAGGAGGCAGACTGGTAGATACCAGAGGCACGGGAGGAGGAAGGGTAGCGCTGATGGGTACGGCTGGCTCTCTTTTTGTGAGTGCAGCACTGAATTCAACCTTTAAAGATGGTTCTTGGGTTTCTTCTCTCTGATCAACAAGAGCCAACTGCTAGGGGCCGAGAGGCCGGGGGCAGTGAGCACTGTGGTCTCCCGTTTCATCAGATGGGGCCTGGACGAGGGACGAGGGACCCGCTTTATGGGACCAGGTGTAAGCTGCAGGGGGCCAGGCTGGGAGGCTTAAGTTCTGCCAGGACATTGTCTCACTCCTCAGCGCTGTCTCCGAGCTTTTGGGTACTTTCTGCCCTGAGTCAGCTGGACCTGGAGCTGAGGTGCTCCATGCTTACTGAGGTCCCAGTGCCTGCTGGCAGATGGTTGTGGGAACTGCGATTTGTGCCTTTCTGATGCTGCTTCCAACTCCAGTAGTGAGACCTGCTCACTGCCAGCTCCCAGTCTTGGGTGGGCGGCACCTCAGCCCCCCAAGCCCTTGCTCTGCCATCTGGGCTAGGCTCTTGGTACCAGGAGAGGTAGCCTGGCTGCAGGAGTGGAGACTGATGGCCCCTGGGGGAGGCAGCCCTTCTGCTCTTTGCACATTCACACGGGCGGGCGCTGTGCAGCTGTAGCGAGGACCCATGGGTGTGGGAAGGGGGTGTGAGGTGCCGTGCAGCTGTAGCGAGGACCCATGGGTGTGGGAAGGGGGTGTGAGGTGCCGTGCAGCCCCTGGCACTGTGCTTGTTGTCTGTAGTTGGCAGGACAGTGGAGGCGGGGTCCCCACCCTCCGGCCTCTCTCTCAGCCTCATTAGCCACCACACTTCCCTGGGGCCGCCTTCTGGGCTGCTGTCAAGGCTGGGTGGGGAGGGGGCTGGGCTAAGCCCCCCCCCCCCCCCCCCCCGTGCGCCTCCTCCCCGCCCCATGGTCACCATTCCCCACCCAGAGTGTGAGTCCAGAGCATCTCCAGGGCCCACCCTATTCTGGTGGAACAGACTTGAGGAGGAACGCTGGACCAGGGACGTGTTGGGATGACCAGTCCCCTGGGGTGGGGTGTGTGCATTTGAAGAAGTCTGGTGGCACAGTGGTTAAGCACTAGGCTGCTCCCTCAAAGATTGGAAGTTTGAACCCCCCAGCCATTCTGCGAGAGAAAGGTGTGCGCGTTGGTTTCCATAAAGATTTATAGCCTTGGAGACGTGATGGGACAGTTCTACCTTGTCCTCCAGGGTCACCGTGGGCTGGAGGCCACTCCATGGCAGGTGTATGCTTATGCTTTGTTGTGCGTTTGTGTGTGTGTGTGTGGTGCACGTGCACATGTGTGCATGTATGTGTGTGCACATGCATGTGTGTGTACGTGAACGTGTGGTAGGCTGCCTGGGTGCTCAGCCTCCCCCGTTCCCAGAAAGGGACCTTTTCTCTCTTAACCAAAGACTGGGGAGCAGTAAATGTGGGTGACTCAGGCCACAACCACGCTGGGGAGGGCTCAGGATGCAGTGCGCATTCCAGATACGGTGTAGCCCGGTGTCCCTCCTGCACCCCCCTCTCCTGCCCTTGCCCCGCCCCACTATCCCATCCTTTGCAGTTCATGACCATGACCTCCTGCCCTGGAGGGGCTAGCTGGCCTGCTGGCCTGGGTGTGACTGGGCTGCCACCACTGACTCACAAGGCGTGGCCACCTGCTGACTGCCACCCCCACCCACAGTGACACTGCTGGGAGCGGTGACAGAAGATGATGGATCTCATGCTAATTGGTCCTATTTTAAGCCACTTGAGACCCGCCTGCATCGTGAGCCGGTGGCCGGGGTTCCCTCGGGGTCAGGGAGCCCGGGTAACCTCCTCTCTCCTGTGACTGGCAGCGTCCTGCAGGTTGGGAGTCCATCTGGCTGGTGGGCTTCAGGACCACCTCCTGCTAAGGGTCCCCCTCATCACAGGACCTCGGATCTGTCTGAGGCCATGCCCTTGTCCCCCATTTGTGTCAGCCCTGTTGGCCTGAGCCCCTTCCTTGAACACCTGGACTTCGGGGTGTCAGACCCTGAAGTGGACATGGGATTGTCAAGAGACAGGGGGCTAAGTGTCCCTGTCCCTGACCCAGATTTAGTGAGGTTTGTCATAACCTCAGGCAGTTAGAGAGCCTGCTTTCTGTGTTGCTAGGAGGTGGGCAGTGCACCTCATACCAGTGGTCTGTCTCCATGGAGGTATGCCAGAATTCAAGACCCTTGTCAACCCTTCCCAGCATCGTCCTGCAGACAGTCTAGCCAGGTGTGAGTGCAGCTGTGAGCAGAGGCAGCGGGGAAAGGTTCATCCCCACACATACTTACACACGTGCCCTGTTCACTCACACACAGACACACCTTATACACACGTGTACTCCATATACACATGTTCACTAGCAGAAGAGACACCCCATACTCAGCACACACATCAACACTTATCCATTCACACATGTACACCCATGTCAACACACATGTGTGTACACCCACACAGAAACACCACACATAGTACACCATACATGTGCTCATGTACACACACACATGTACACCCACAGATACACCCCATGCACATGCTCACACAGTACACCTACACACATGCTCACATGTACATGCACACAGATATACCACATGCACACTCTCACAGTACACCCACATGTATGCTCACATGTACACACATACACACATACACAAGGCACACATGCACTCACGCAGATCTGCTTCTCATGTACACTGTCAAGTTCATTCAGATTCACTGTGTGCATGATCAGCCACACGCATGTGCACACACAGAGGGCATACACAAGGTGATGGCTCTTGTCACTGCCCCTGAAGCAGCTCCAGGCTGGACCATGCAGGGGAGGGTAGTGCATTTGGCTAGGACGCTACCATCTCCTGGCCCCATGTCCCTTGCAGGTCTGCGTGTCCTAGCAGGGGTGGTAGGGACGTGTGGAAGCCCCACTTGGCTAGGGAGCCACCGGCAGCCTGCACAGGTCCCTAACTGCATCTCAGGCACACCGTCTGTGAAGAACGTGGCAGGCAGGAGGCCTCATGTCCCTTATGTGAGACCTGCCTCAGGGCTCTGAGACAGCACCACCTCCCTCTCCTTCCCCCTGGAAGACATCCTGTAAGTGTGGTCAGTGGGGCCATGCCAGCTTCAGAGATGCCTCGTGTCCAGCAAGGCAGGACTCTGGCTACGTGCGTGCAGTGACCCGGGTGGATCCTCTCCTGTTCACTGGGCCAAAGCGCCCAGCCACACAGCAGGTGGTGCACAGCAAGTAGTGCTGGCCGGAGGAGCATGCTGTAAAGTTAGTGGTCAATGGGAGGTCAGCGTGGGATTCTTCTGTCTTCATCCTTGTCACCGGCGTCAGCTTGTTCGAGACTCTGGGGACCCCCTGCCCTTGTGTGTTTGTTTCTGGGGTCCTGGCCACCGGAGCGTTATCTGCGTACTGGGGCATGCCTCATTGCAGCAGCAGCACCTCTGCCCCCCTCCCTGCCTGGGGCAGGGGACCCTCACAACACAGGTGGGTGATGAGGGGAATTCAGAGTCCCTGACCCTTTTTTTCTTCTCCGGCTGCCCTGCCCCCAGGAGACGTCCTATTCCAGATGGCCGAGGTCCACAGGCAGATCCAGAACCAGCTGGAGGAGATGGTAAGCAAGCCCCTGCTGCTCGGGTCAATGGGGGTTCACTGCTGGGGGCACGCACAGAGAGGGTCAGGGCACAGCCTGGATCAGCCCGGGTCCTCACTAGCTGCCTGCCGGGTCGGGGGCAGTGAGTGAGAGTATGCCAGATCTCAGGTTCCAGGCTGCAGCTTCCGCTGTAAGGACGGACCACCTTGGAGCAAACTGGAGGCCCACTGTTCCCAGGATGAGCTCAGTTGCATGCTGCAGGCACAGTGTCCGTGAGCCCCCATTTGGGGCCTGCCAAGTATAGCCCTGGGCTAAAGTGAGGGTCCTTCCCAAGCCATTGCGTGGCACAGCAGAGGAGGTCTCTGGCTGCTGGGCTGTGTCCCACGCCTAAGGCCTCGGGCCTTTTGCTGCACTGTGCTGTCGGTAACCCGGCTGTTTGCTCTGAGTGCCCATGTTGAGGGGCCGTGGTGACTGCCATCTTTTGGTCCTGGGCTGTGCTGTCTGACGTGACCCTCCTCTTCTTTCTGTCTCTAGCTGAAGTCTTTTCACAATGAACTGCTGATGCAACTGGAGCAGAAGGTGGAGCTGGACTCACGGTATCTGAGTGTAAGTACACCCTGGGCCGTGGTGCCTGAGTGCTGCCCATTGGTGACACCACCCGTTAGGGACACCCTAAATGCGGTCTGGGACACCCTAAATGTGGTCGCTGTTAGTCAGAACAACTTGATGTTGTGGGTTCTGCCCTCACCTGCCTCTTCTCTGGCCAGCTCTGATCCACTTTAGATCTTCCTTCCCTTGGGGGTTTTCCTGAAGTCGGGTTTCATCTCCAGGTGGGAGGTTCCTGGTCTTTAGTGTCCCTGTGTCCTAGGGCCTGTCACCGGAAGGTGGAGGTTCATAGTTCTGATAGCTCTGCGCTGCTTCTGGTTTAACCCGCAGGCTGCGCTGAAGAAATACCAGACGGAGCAGAGGAGCAAGGGTGACGCCCTGGACAAATGTCAGGGTGAACTGAAGAAGCTACGTAAAAAAAGCCAAGGGAGCAAGAACCCTCAGAAGTATTCAGACAAGGAGCTGCAGGTGAGACGGGTGGGGGCTGCACCCTCGCCGGGTGACCGCCAGCCTGCTGGGTGCCAGCTACCTAGCTGAAAGGGAGACTGATGCAGCCACGGGGGCCTGGCTTGGCCAGAAGCCTCCATGCTCGAATATTCCAGAAGGTTCTCTAGCAAGTGACCTCTCCCACCTCATGTCCTTCTGGATTCCTAACCAAGCAGAGCCCTGTCCAGTCCCCTGATGGCCCATCCCGGCCTCCCCTTCCACTTGTCACAGAACCCCTAGGGAGGAGCTTTTGGGTAGGGTGGGTCTCTGGCTTAATCCTTTACCTCCTGATGGCACAGCTCTGCTGAGAACAGACAGTTTGGCAAGTCTCGGCACGCACCGTACACTCCTAACTGCTCCACACTACTTCGAGGCATGTGCACACATGTGCTGTACATATATGTGTCTCCCACATGAACCTTGAGCCCCAGGACCAAGGCAGGCCAGGGGGAGTCTGCCTCCGGTGCTTGGACCTTGTGATCGTGATGATGACCGGCAGAGTCATCTGGTGAAGGGACATGATGGCCGCGGCAGGGAAGCTGCATGACCCCTGACCCTGGCCGGTGGTAGGGCCTCATACTGGTTCACTCAGCACTGCGGTACCGACATTCACGCTTGTGTAGAGGGCCTCCCCGGCAGGCCCGCTGTCCGGAGCTCATGGCCCACCCTCCTCCCATATGCAGCCTTCCCACCTTCCGCGGCTGCCCCTTGGTGGATTTCCAGCTCGGGGCTGTTACAGAGACTGCAGTGATGAGCCCCCCCTTGGGCTGTTGCTGTGAAAAAAATGCCTAGGAGAGGGTTCTAGGAGGAAGAGCAAAAAATGGGTGTGTTCCTCGTTGACCCTTCAGGTGGGCTGCCATTTGCTTCTGAAACCTTCCTACAAGTGCTGACCCCTGCTGCCCGGGAGGGTGATGGCAGCCTGAACTGATGGTTGCACAGGTAGAAAGAGCCCACTCACAGAGCACCATCCAGGGTGGTGATGGGGACCCCACAGTGCTGCCCTCCCAGTGGCCCCAAGACTGACCCCAGGGGTACAGCCACCTGCTGGAAGGGGCCTGCTTCCTGCCTCAAGGCTCTGCCTGTAAAATGTAGCTTTACTGAACTGTAAGTCAGCGTCCATACAGAACTTCTTTGGTTTTGAAACTTCTTGTTGTGATCTAAGTGCAAGCTTAGGAAGCGCACTGGTTTCCAGTGAGCCGTTCATGCACGTCCATGACATTGACTGCCATCCTCCCGTGGCACGGCACTCTTCCCATGTCCTCCATGCGTGCCCTGTTTCCTTTCCTCCTTCCTGCCTTCTGACCTTTATCCCTGGGCACATGCGCCCCTTTGATCTTGCTGGTTGATTGTTCTAAGGAGTGAGTTCCTCCCAATGTATTGTTCTATTTATGGGCCTGTGTATTTTGGGTTAAAGTTGAGTCATGGAGTGGCTTCTGTTCCAAGGTGTCTAAGAGCCGTCATCTCGGGCTCCCCCAGTCCTGATCAGACCGACCGGTAAGCCTGGTCTTTGTCATGATTGTGACTTTTGTTCTGTGGTTTCCTCCCCTCTGTCCAGGGTCCTACTGTGATCCCTTTCTGAGTGGTCAGCAGGCACTGTCTGGGTGTAGTCTCTGTGTGGAGGCTGGGGGTGGCTGGGGGTCGTCGGGGCCATCCATTCTTGGGACTTTTCATTTCCTCGTGTCTCATTTTTTCACTCTTTTTTGCTTCAGGTAGAGAGAGACCAATAGTTGCACCTTAGATGTCCATCAGTGAGCTTTTGAGACTCCTGTAACTACTCTTCACAATAGGTATAGAACAGTGTCTTTGGTAAAAACTGATACACGTCAGTTAAGTTAGCTGTCTCCTGACACTGTGATCTTTAGTCCCCAAGTTTAAAGACATGGCTGAGAAATCTTCATAGCTTTGCTCTCTGAATGCTCAGAGGTATGCACAGGTACACTCACACCCCATACAGGTATCTCTGTAGACACACCCCACACACAGGTACACTCACATTCCGTACACGTATACCTGTAGACACACCCCACACATAGGTACACTCACACCCTGTACAGGTACATCTGTAGACACACCCCACACACAGGTACACTCACACCCCGTACAGGTA